TGACCGACTCCGACAATCATTTGGGGCTCAGGACAGGGGCAGGGCACGGAGGGAAAAAAAATCACAAACTCTGCAGTGCCCCGGAGGTGTGGAGGCCGATGGGGCAGGGCTGGGCTGGGTCTGTCTCCCTGGGCAGGAGGGGAAAGGACCCCCTCCCATTACGGGCAGGGGCTGGGCACACGGCAGTGCCAGCGTTACCCAGCTCAGGAAGGCGCAGCTCCGAGTGGCACTTAGGGGCGACTGCGAGGGATGGAAGGGGAACCTCTCCCTGACTGACAACAGCTTTTCACCGCTCTAAAAACAGAAGGGAGGCAGCTCTGTGTCAGCACAGCATCGTACCCCAGGTACAGAAAGAAAAATCTCTATAAGAACCAAAAAATGTCAAATTTGGAAACTCTCAAAGTACTCAGGGAGGGTACAAAGGAGAGACAAGACCCAGACCTACCTCCCACATCCAAGTCCACTTTGTAGTTGAATAAATGGGTGCGTATCGTACCCAGCGTGTGCTCCCAAACCCTATTGCCGTATCTCAGACCATCACCATGGAGAAAGGACGAGCTCGGGTACCCCGTGGCCTGGACCTTGCCTTCGATGGCCCCGTTCTGGTAGAAGATGAAGTCCCAAATGTAGTCATGGTTGCCCATGGTTGCAATGGACCGAACGACCAGAGCAGAGTTGACCAGGCCCCCGTAGTAGAGCGACTGCAAGTTGGAGTAGTGGCGCCTCAGAGGGGAGCCCAGGTTCTGCTCAAAAATGCAGAGTGAAGCCTTTCTCTTGCTGGGGCTCAGGGTCTCAGACAGAGTGTGTGTGTCAACATAGGTGGCCGAGTATGGGCAGTCGACCCCTCGCACCAAGGGGGAGGTGTAGCGCCCGATGCCAAAGCTCCCGTCCATGTACCTCGTTGACATCCCTCCGGGGCAGTTGGAGCCATACACTGACAACGCTTCTTGGACACTGATTTCATAGGCAACCCTCTCCCCCTTGTGTCGGATGTCAAACAGGCGCAGGCCCGTGCTCACGCTCATCCCAAAGGCAAAGCTCCATGCCTGGAAGAGGACGAGGTTGTTCCTGACGCTGTAGCGGGGACCCTGGGGCTCGTACTGCAAAGGGAACAGCGCAGCCGAGGGCGCTCGGGGCTTCATGGACGAGAAGTCCCCATCCCACGGCGCTTTCCTCACCTTCTCCACGCTGACGCGACCCTGCACATAGGCACTCTCCAGCTGAACCATGTCCCTGTAGTACTGCCCGTTGTAGAAGACCCTGCTCACTGCCCACCGGGAGATGTCCAGGCTGCTGTGGTCCACCAGCACCTCCAGCCCCACCGGGTGCACAAAGAACCCGCTCACGTTCTGAAACACGATGAACCAGGACTTACGGTCTCCAGACTGGAACCCATGCGGGGCTGTGGTCTGAAACGCCACGTTGGTGCCATCATACTCAAATACTTCTTTCAGGAAGGTCGGGGCTGCAGCAAACGCGATCATCTCTAAGAACGCTCCCACCTGCTTGTACTCACTGCCCAGCATCGGTCTGCGGTGGTACGGCACCTTCCCCCCGTACTTCTGCACCGTGACGTCCCGGTGATACGCCGGCGTCGGCAGCGGACCCACCACGTACTCGGTGATGTTGGGGTCTGGCTGGTTCCCAAAGTAGAGCACAGCCAGCGCCTCCCGGGAGGGCTGAGCCCCCCCGCCATCCAGGAACCGCAGCACCTCTGCCTTGCCGGGGACCTGCACGTCGACGGAGGCGATGCAGTTGTCGGAGGGCTTCGCACGCGAGGCGTCGACCAGCTGCACCCCGAGGTTTGCCTGCAGGTACCGCACCACCTGCACCATCTCTTCAGGCGTCAGGTCAGCAAAGACCAGGCTCGTGCTCATGGACCCTGTCTTCTCCACAATGCGGGGCTGGGATTCACAGCTGGGCGATCGCCTCCCTCTGCTCAGCAGCATGCAGGAGAGAATGAAGATTATCACTGCAGCCCCGACCAGGAGAACGTAGGGAAGTTTGGGGTTCATCTCTCCAAGTGCAGAGACCGTGCGTGGTTTGGCTGCGGCATCCAGAATACGTCCCTCACCTGCAGACACGGCTCTTCATCTGTTTGCCAACTGTGGGCGTAAAGGCGTCGCTTGTGAGGTGGGGAGGGAGCCTGGAGCTCGCATGAGACTCCAGGAGCAGACCATAGGTCGTAGCCAGCCCAGCCTGTTTCCTCCCCACCCCAGACAGACCGAGGAACCCGGTGCCTGACTCACTCCCCAAGCTACTGATGGCTTTCTGCGCTGCAGGGTGACGCCATGGAGAGCCCCGGGCTGCCCAAGGGGCCTTTGCCTCTCCCAGCATCTCCCAGGTCATCCTGTCCCTGTCTCATGTGGGAGCGCAGCGATGCCACAGGGGTAGGCGTAGCTGGCTCTGCTCCTTCCGCACCCCAGTGCCCCGGGACCAGCCCCACTCCCCTGCAGGGCCAGTCTAGGCTGGGGCTCCAGAAAAGCCCCAGACCTGCCGGCTCCCCAGCACCTCCATGTGCCTGTCCTCCCTGTCGCCATTCTCTGCCGTCTCCAAGTCCCTCCCATCCCCAAGGGAAGGGACCTGGCAGCTCCAGACCAGCTCCAGCTGTGGGCAGACTGGCCAAGCTGGGAGGAAGCTCCCCAGGGAGAACAGCAGCACTGCTCGAACCCCTGGCAGCGAGTGCAACACTGACTGAACTCCTGGCAGCGACTGCAAGCAAAAGGTAGGGTCTAAAACGGCCGTGCCGGGAAGAGCAGTGGCTGCAGGATGACTAACAGGACACATCTGTCCCCACTCAGCCCCCTCAACCCCACTCCAGCAGACACGATCCTTGGACAAGAGCTGTCACGGGCAGAAATGGCAACTGTCAGGAAACCGTTCAGCACTCCCAACCGCACGCCGGCGCTTCCCCAGCGAGCACAGCCGTGCACAGCGCTTTGGAGGCAGCGAGCAGGGGGCTGGGGCCGCCCCACTGCGCTGCGAGGCGGCCGCTCCTGCACGGCCCCCCGCCCCTGCGAGGCTGGGCCCAAGCGAG